TCCAGGGGTGTTTTTTTTTTTTTTTTTTTTTTGAGACAGAGTCTCACTTTGTTGCCCAGGCTATAGTGTGTGTAGCCTGGGCAACACTGAGCTTACTGTAGCCTCAAAATTCTGGCCTCAAGTTATCCTCTTGCCTCAGCCTCCCAAGTAGCTGGACCTATAGGCGTAGGTAATTTTCTTAATTTTTAGCCTTCCCAAGTAGCTGGACCTATAGGCGTAGATAATTTCCTTAATTTTTATTTTTAGTGGAGATGGGGGTCTCTTAATTTTGCCCAGGTCTGGAACTCCTGGTCTCAAGCAATCCTCTTGCCTCAGCTTCCCAAAACGCTGGGATTACAGATGTGAGCCACTGCACCTGGCCAGCCCAGATAGTTTTAGAATGCTAACTCATCTCTCCTTTACTCAAAAGTTTGGCAACTCCGGCAGCCCTTTTGGTCATGGTTGCAGAACCCTGGCGGCCGGCCCCGCCCCACTCCGCAGCATCATCTTACACCACCCTCCCCGCCAACTCCTCCCAGCTCCCAAAAGCAGGTGCTTCACTCATGCTCTTCCCTCAGCCTGAAGCACTTTTCACAGCTGCCAGCCTCACTGGTTCCTCATCCTCCTTGGCATCAGCTCCCAAAGCAGACTTGCGTGACAACCCCAAGACGGCCCTGCACCCTCCCCCACCCCACACGCCTGGGTCATTCCGCCCTCACTGGGCAGGCCATCTTCCTACTGTGGGCTCCATCTTGGCAGGACCCTCCTGTCCACCGCGGGCCGCCCCCCTGTAGCCCTCTTCTCCCTCTTCTGTTCCTCTAACACTGAGGCTGAGGACACTTGGTCCCCTTACAGGCAAAAGCAGTCATGTGCCCTTCTGGCAATGGGGCAACTGCAGAGAGCATCCTTGGAGGGTTTCCTTATGCCTCTTTTGCCTCCACCTTTCTCCTGTCTGTGCCCTGGGGATGTATGGAGGCAAAGCTGAGGCTATCAGAGCAGGAGGCCAGAGGCCTGGTTCCTGATGGCATCAGGCTGGACTACCTGCCCATGGTCTCCTTGTAGTGAAGCAATAAGACCACGTTGGAGGCCAGGTATGGTGGCTCATGTCTGCAATCCCAGAACCATGGGAGGCTAAAACAGGAGGATCCTTTGGGCCCAGGCGATCGAGACCAACCTGGGCAAGATAGCAAGATCTTGTCTTTACAAAAAATAAAAAAATTAGCCAGGCATGATGGCACATGTCTGTCATCCCAGCTATTCAGGAGGCTGAGGTGGGAGGATCGCCTGAGGCCAGGAGGTTGAAGCAGCCTTAACAGCATAGCAAGACCTCATCTCTTTAAAAAAAATCAATAAAGGTAGTTTGGGCCGGGCACAGTGACTCATGCCTATAGTTCCAGCTACTCGAGAGGCTTAGGTGGGAGGATCACCTGAGACCAGGAGGTTGAGACTGTGGTGCGCAGTGATTGTGCCACTGCCCTCCAGCCTGGGGGACAGAGCAAGACCCTGACTCAAGATAAATAAATACAACCATGTGGGTTCACCAGGTCCATCAGTGGAATGCCACGGGCACTAGCGGCTGGATCCCTCCCATGGAGAGCAGACTGCACGCTGCAATGTGTCTAGCAGTGTCCTTGGCCCCGCCCACCCTCTCTCCTCCTAAGTCCTGACTGCCAGAACAGCCCTGGCTGGGTGTTCTAGAGGCGAGACCCCCTCCACGTGTTTGGCTGCCGCAGACAGGGAAGGGAACCCACACGGGAGATGCAGGCCGTTCGCGCCTGGCTCTGCACCCACCTGGCGGGTACGCTGGGCCCTGAGCACCTCCAGGCCAGCCTGCAGCTGCTCCTTCTCACGGATGAGCTCCTCGCTGAGGGTCTCCAGGTCCTGACTGCTCTGCCGCTCCCTCTCCAATTGGGCCTGCAGTTTCTCAATCTGTGAGGCCAGAGACCACAGGGCCGGGGCTCAGGGTGAGGGGCCATTGTAAAGAGCCACCTGAGGGGCACAGGGGGCCCATCCACCCAGTGCTGGGCAACTGTCACGTGCCAGGGCCAATACAGTCAATGCTGCGTACACACACGGTGTGAGGAAAGCTGGCCGTGGGGCCAGGCCAGACTCCAAATGGGCCCAGGGTGGGCCCAGCAGGACAGCAGGCAGCTGCTCCTAGGCTGGCACTTGCCTGGGCACAGCAGGCCCTCCTGCCCTCTCTGTCCACCCCCCCCCCCCCCGGGGTCTGTGCCAAGACAAAGTACCTGAAATGGAAGTGTCTTGTAGGCTTGAATCCTCAGCCTGGGGGTCTGCACTAATGCCAGGCAAGGTCAGAACTGAGTTAAGTTCAGGACACCCCGCTGGTGGAGACTCCCGGGGGACCCAGAGCATCGGAGCAGGAGAGATGCCCTCAACCCCACCTCACAGGTGAGGATGCAGAACATAGAATTCACATGTCGTCACCCTGGGGATGAGGCCACACAGCCCTGACCTCCCCATACCCACAGGTGCCACCATCATGGTGCCTGTGACCACATCTGGACTCTGTGCTCTCCCAGGGTGCATCCCCCCAACACCCGTGTACCCGGCCATGGGTGTCACATGCCTGGCATGTCACAGATGGGACTGGGGCAGTTGGTGATGGGCCTCAAGCCTCCCCGCTATCCGGACAGGCTGCAGTACCTTCTTGCTGAGCTGGTGGTTGTCCTTCTCCAGAGCCAAGGATGCATCACGCAGCCCCTGCACGCAGCTCTGCAGGCTCTGGTTTTCTCTCTCCAGCTTCAGGACGCGGCTGGACGCACACTCATTCAGCTCAAACACAAACGACTTCCTGGAGGCTGAGGCATGAGGCTGAGTCAGGGCTTCCACTTCCACGCTCGCCCCCGGCTCCCACCCAGCCAGGGTCTGCTGGGCACCCGTCCTGCCTCTCCACCCCTCGGTACCTGGGGTCCCTCTGCTGGTTCGGCTGGAGCCTGTTGGGGGCACCTAGAGCTCCAGAGGAAAGGAGGCCCGGCCAAGGCCGCCACAGGAACTAGAGGCTGCACAGGCTGTGGGACCGGCTGTTCCCAGGCTGTTGGCTTGGCTGTCTTTATGTGTGTGTGTGTGTTCTGAGTCGGGGTCTCACTCTGTTACCCAGTACAGTGGCACGAGCATGGCTCACCATAGCCTCAAACTCCTTGGGGCAGGCGATCCTCCCTCCTGAGTTGCTGGAATTATAGGCAGGTGCCACCATACCCAGCTAATTTTTTTATTATTTTGTAGCGACCTGATCTCACTATGTTGCTCAAGGCTAGTCTTGAACTCCTGAGCTCAAGCAGTCCTCCCACCTGGGTCTCCCAAAATGATGGGACTATGGGCATGCCTCTATGCACAGAGGACTCTTCCTGTGATCTCACAATTATATTCAAGAAAAGTGGGATCATATATGCAAATTGCTTGAAAATTCTGAGACAGAAGAGAAGCTCAAGATAGAAGAACTGCTTGGCCACAGACAGAGGAGAAGCCGTCTCCAGAGCTATGACCGAGAGCTCCTGGCCCTCTCGGCCAACAGGCAGGTATAACTTTGGGCAAGCCACAGGGCCTTGGGGTAGAAAAAGAGGATACGTGAAACCCTCCAAGAAAGGACCCTGTTGCTTGAGCCCAGGAGTTTGAGACCAGCCTGGGCAACGGAGCGAGACTTCATCTCTAAAAAAAAAATAAAAAACATAAAATTAGCCAGGCATGGCGGCATGTGCTTGTAGTCCCAGCTACTTGGGAGGCTGAGGCAGGAGGACTGCCTGAACCCAGCAGGTTGAGGCTTCGGTGAGCTGTGATCATGCCGCTGCACTCCAGCCTGGGCGACAGAGTGAGACCCCAACCCAAAATAATAAAATAAAATAATAAAGAGATGAGGTGCTTGCCCCAGGTCACCCTGCTAAATAACTAGGGGGCAACTGGGACATGTAGTCAGGTCCTTGTGACTCAGGAAGTCACTGGCTGCACATTCAGGCATGTCCAGGCTCTGCCTGTGTAAGGCCTTCGTTCAGGCCAATGCTTAAACTCCAGCTGGGTACCAGGATTCTAAAGGGCTCACACATCATATAGAAAAGGCTGAAATCGATGAGGACTCTGGCTCCACCAGTCACTAGGATCCACCAAGTACACTTGATGGGAGACAGACCCAGGCAGCCTGCACCACTGCTCTGCTCCACTAGGGGGCGAGGCTCCCCCACGTCCACCCCATGGACTTGGCCTTTTAGACGGGTGGTCCTCAGCCTTTTTGGTACCAGGGAAGGTTTTGTGGAAGACAATTTTTCCACAGACCGGGGTCGGGAGGGTGGGGGTATGCAGTCACACCTCACTGCTCATGTTTATCTATATTTGCAGCCGCACCGCCTCGGCTCCACCTCAGATCATCAGACATTAGATTCTCATAAGCAGCAGCAACCGAGATCCCTCACACGTGTAGTTGACAATAGGGTTCACGCTCCTATGAGAATCTCATGCTGCCGCTGATCTGACAAGAGGCAGAGGTCAGGTGGTAATACAAGGATGAGGAGCAGCTATAAACACAGATGAAGCTTCACTCACCGCTGCTCACTTCCTGCTGTGCAGCCTGGTTCCTAACAGGTACCAGTCTGTGGCCCAGGGGCTGGGGACCCCTGATCTAGAAGCAGGGAACTGGGCAAGCCCATCGTGGTCTAGCCCCCAGGTGCACTGGTACCAGAGCACAGATAGCACCAACCTCTCACACAAATGAATGGTCTAGCTAACTGACAGGACCCTTCAAGAGAAGAAATACTCAGCTGCTTTCAGTAACCTTTCAAGCAAGCCTGAGGGTGTTTTTCAGGATTTTAAAAAGTCAGTCAGGCTTGATGGTTCACACCTGTAATCTTACCCCTTTGGGAGGACAAGGCAGGAGGACTACTTGAGTCCAGGAATTCAAGACCAGCCTGGGCAACATAGTGAGACCTTGTCTCTACAAAAAATTAAAAAAGTTAGGGGGGCATGGTTGTGCATGCTTAGAGTCCCAGCTACTCGGGAGGCTGAGGAGGGAAGATTGCCTGAACTCAAGAAGTGGAGGCTGCAGTGGCCGTGATCACGCCACTGCACTCCAGCTGGGCAACAGAGTGAGACCCTGACTCAAAAAAAAAAAAAAGCCAAAGGCCACATCCCACCAAGAGTCTACATTAAGATTAACTCCGCTATTGGGGCGAGGGAATGGCCGGCGTGTGCTATTTCCAGCACAGGAACTAGCTCATTGTTTGTAGCCGAGGCTTCCTGCCTAAGCGCGGGTGCAGCCCCACCTCTTGTCCAGGCCCAACGCCTCGCCTGGTGGCAGAACAGGCCCAGGAGAGGGCCACTGGGCCTGGTGGGGTGGCAGAGCGCATGGCCTTGAGAAACAGCAGCACGGCCCATGCAGGAGACAGAATGGGCTGCCTCTGTCCTGGCCGACGATGCAGACGGGGGAAGAAACTTTGCCAGGCGCATTTACAGCGGGGCCAATGACCAGTGGCTCCTGCCCTCCAGGACAGCCTGCCATGAGCCATCACATGGAAGCCAGAAAGCCACGACACTTGTTTGTATCGCATGTCCTGACATAGAGATGGCCAGGCCCATGTTCGGATTGGAGAAGCAATCTCCGATGTTGCTCAAAGGGCACTCATGGGAGTCACACTAGCCTGGGTGAACAGACAGGCTGCCACGGAGACCCAGGTGGGGCTTGGCTCCCAGGCAGTGCCAGTAGCCACACGGCCGGCTCCTGTGCCACCTACCGTCTGACATGTCGGCGCTCCTGGACAGCTGCTCCAGCTCCCAGCCCAGGTGGGCCGACTCATCCATGCTCTGCTTCTGCGCGATTGCCAGCACTGCGTTCTCCTCCAGTAGCTCCTCAATGCGCTTCTTGTCTGCATCCCGGTCCTGGGGAGGCAGAGGGCGGGGAAGGCTGTGGGTGGCCCCCTGGACGAGTCGGGCCCTGTGTTTTCCATCACACACGGCTGGGGAAGGTGCACTGGCTCATGGCCAGGCACCAGGGCTGGCACAGAGCCGGCTGCCGGGAGGGCAGGGCCACTACTGGTTACCCTGACCCGCATGGTTCCTCGCTGGGGCCATCTGGGCAAAGTGAAGACCGTGCAGGTCTTTAAGGCCACTCAACAGTGCGGCTACCTTGGGCCTCCAGAGCAGGCCTGGCGGGCCTCAAGCGGGGGGAGCTACCACACCTGGCTCTGCATGTGTCCACGCCTGCCAAAACCCTCCTTGTGGAAAACGCATGCACATGCATCCTTGCAGAAGTGTTGCCGCCCTGCTACCATGGGGTGCCCCCAAGTCCTGCATCCAATAGCTCCAGCCCCATTAACAAGGGGCATGGCCTTCCCGGCCCCCATGCCAGCGCACCCATACCAGCTCTAGGTCATGCAGCTTGGACTTGAGCTGCAGCTGCTCCTTCTCCAGCTCGTGCACACGGTCGCCCCGGGTACGGGCTGCGGTCAGCTGCTCCTCCAGCATGGCCTTGGTTTCTATCAAGATGGTGTTATCCTCCCTCAGCTCCTGAGAGCAAGCATATGCACGGAAACATCAGACAGAGGGGCACTGTCAGGCAAGGGTTCCTGGGCCAGTGGACAGAACTCCAAGGCCAAGGCTCGTTCAGGCACCTGGTCCAAACATGATCTAGAGATGGCAGGCATGGTGGCTCATGCCCATAATCCCAGCACTCCGGGAGGCCAAGGCAGGAGGATCGCTTGAGCCCAGGAGTTCGAGACCGGCCTGGGCAACATAGTGAGACCTCATCTCTATAAAAATCAGAAAGATTAGCCAAGAGTGGTGGCTGTAATCTCAGCACTCTGGGAGGCTGAGATGAGAGGATTCCTTGATCTCAGGAGTTCAAGACCAACCTGGACAACACAGAGAAATGCCTGTCTCTACAAAAAATAAAAATAAAACAATTAACCAGGTGTGGTGATGAGCACCTGTTGTCCCAGCTACTTGGGAAGCTGAGGCAGGAGGTTGAGGCTGTGGTGAGCCAAGATTGTGCTACCACATTCATTCCCACCTGGGTGGCAGAGTGAGATGCCCCTAGCAGGACACTGTGTCTCCAATCTATACCTAACGCACCTCTCTTCGTTAGGAAGGACACATGGACTTTCTCCGCTGCAAGAGACAAATCTTCAAGCCCAGATGTGCCAGGCATGGAGCTAGGGCCCTGACATCATGACATCATCCGGACGGACACAAGGACTCTACATACACACAGGATCTGAGCCTTCCCTTGATGAGGAGGGGGTGGGCCTGAGTCCCATCTCCACCCAGCTGTCACTCACTGACCGGGGTCCCAGGAAAATATGGTGATGCAGACAAGCTTTTGTCAGCACACAGCTCCTACACGGGCATCTTACATGTGTCCCCTTGGAGACAGAGATCCTCTCAGCCGGTTTCTGGGACAGGGGCTTCAAGGCAGCCCAGCAAGCTGCCAAGTGAGAGTCCATGAATGAGCACCAGTGAGGGGTCCCCAACCACCTGTCACAGGTGGCACAGGGAAGACGTTGTCTGTATCCACGCTCTGCTGTCCCTAGATGGCCTTGGTTTCTCCTCTCCCCAGAAACCCCCAAATACCACTCAGCAACCTGGGAGGACCGAGTCTCCCCCAGATGACTCTGGAGCTCACAGACAGCTACTCAGGGAGCATGTCCACAGCTGGGCAGGCAGAGCTTTCTGGGGCTCATCCTACCCACAGGCTACATGGGAACGGGGCTGGGAGGCTCTGTTTAGCTGCCACGTGCCCACCTTCCTACACAGGCCAGCATCTAAGACTCCAGGCAGCAGGGAAGACACATGCTCCCCGGTCAGTGGACAGAACTTTGAGCAGAGCCAGCAGCCAGTGGAGGGCTTAGTCAAGACTCTCAATGACCTGGCATGCCTCCCTCTGCCCGTCCCCAGCAGAGGCAATTTCTGCTCTATGGTCAGCCCCGTATGAGGCAATCCCATGGGTCGATATCACTCACTCCACACAGCAGCCCTCAGAGGGAGGCAGAGACAGTCCCCTCCTATGGACAAAAGGCTGGCTCAGGAAAATTAGAAGTTCAAGGCCAGTGATCCCAGCACTTTGGGAGGCCGAGGCAGGAGGATGGCTTGAAGCCAAGCGTTCAGACCAACCTGGGAAACATAGCGAGACCCGTCTCTACAAAACAATGTTAAAAATTAGCTGGGTGTGATAGCATCTAGTAGTCCCAGCTCCTTGGGAGGCTGAGGTAGGAGGATCATTTAAACCTGAGTCTGAGACTGCAGTGAGCTATGATTGTGCCACTGCAATCCAGCCTGGACCACAGAGCAAGATTCTTGTCTTAAAAAAAAAAAAAAGAAACAGATGAATTCAAAGCCACAAACCCAGTCGGGGCAACTAGGGTTTGAACGTGGCTAGAGATCTCTAGCTGTATATCTCTCCACTGCCCTCAGCTGCCTGAAGCCCTGCCTCCCTGGGTGACACTGGGAGCACCTTAGGGGCGTGCATTTGGATTAGAGGTCAGTGCGTGTGTGTGTGTGAGAGAGACACACACACACAAGACACTCTGGGACTGATCATGGCAGAGACACACACAGAGAGAGAGGCGCATGGGGGAGGAGGAGGGAGAAAATGACAGAGACAGATATAGAGACAGAGAGAGAGAGAGAAACCAGAAACGGGAGAGAGGGAGAGAAGAGGGGAAGAGAGGGAGGGAGAAAGGATAGAGGGGGCAGAGAGAGATGACACCCCAGGGCTGACAAACCCACCATCCCTCGGCCCACCTCTCACATACAGATCTGTTCCTAGCCTTTCTCATCTGGGGGTGCCTGTGGAGAGAGACTCACTAAAATAAGCTCACCAACACTCCGATGCCAGGGGTCTCAGAGATGACAGATCCTTCCTGCACAGGGGGACAGACCCACCCGTACCCACCGGCTGGCGTCCAGAGAGCACCATGCCCAGCTGGTCAGCGCCCGGTGCTGACGTGCACTGCCGGGCTGTGACTCTCCCCAAGGGAGGGCGTATCCTGCCCAGGGTACATGTGGCACCTGCCTCGCCCTCGAGCTCTCGGTGGAAAATGAAGCATGGGGAGAGGAAAGCTTCTACTGCCCTCACCCTCCTCCCACATGGCTGCGAGGGCCCCTCCCTCTAGTGAGACTGCCCTCAACGAGAGTCGCCCATTCTGCTGTTCATTATTTTAACCTTTACATGAACTAGATGAAGCTGCCAGACGCTTAAAGACGAACCGTTGTACACTTGTGGTCCTACCATGTCTTTCTTTTCTTTTTTTTTTTTTTTTTGAGTCAGAGTCTCTCTCTGTCGCCCAGGCTGGAGTGCAGTGGAACACTCACAGCCACCCCAGTGTCTCGATCTGCTGGGCTCCAGTGATCCTTCCGCCTTACCCTTCCAAGTAGCCGGAGCTACAGGTGTGCACTACAACACCCAGCTAATTTTTGGTTTTTATCGTAAAGAAAAGGTCTCGCCAAGTTGCCTGGGTTGGTCTCAAACCTGCGGGCTCAGGTAATCCACTCTCCTCGGCCTCCCAAAGTGCTGGGATTATAGGCTGAGCCACTGAGCCTGGCCTCTTCCATGTTTTTCTAGCTGAAATTCAGCTGCCTGGCCCTGCATCCGCCCCTTCCTCTCTCCCTCCCACAGCAGGACACACCCTTGGGTAGCATGTTGATGTGTATCCAGCAGGTGGACTGGGTAGCCTTTAGGGGAACTGGCCACGTCTCCTCCCACTGAACCCAGAAGTGTGTCATGCAGGCAGGTCCAACAGCTGCAAGCTGTCACGGGCGCAATGGCCACCCCCCAATCCTTCCCCCATGCAGAACCATCCCTGAGCCTAGGGGACCCAACTGCCCTCTTCCCCAGACAGCCCTTCCACCGCAGAGCACAGGGGGCAGGGTCACCGAGGGGCTTGTGTATGCTGGCAGATAAGACGGAGGTTCCGCCACAGGGTCCACATGGAGGGCCCCGCCACACTCTGTCTAGAGGCTGGCCCTGCTCTACAAGCCTGCATCCCCATCTCCTCCTGGCGTGGAGGCCTTGCAGGAAGGACCACTGTCCACCCGCCACCTGGCCCCAGCTTGGGGGTGGAACATCAAGGATGGCGAGGGGACACGTGTGCACGCCAACACCAGCAGCGGCCCCTGGTGTGTGGGCCTTTAGTAGCTGCACTAAGGGACATCCATGACCCCGCTGACACACCTGCTTGTTGATACTAATGTGCAGCCTATGGCAAGCCTTCTCGGAAGCACCGTACTTGCCAGGAGGCGCAGATTCTGACAGGACTCTACCAACCCCTAGCCATGGGCCTATTGTCATTTTTGTCTTTCATGAGATTTTTGCCCAAAGAAAGGAAGGGTTGCACTTTCTCTGACAGACCGAGTTGGCGAAGCGTGTTCTTGGTTATCAAAATACGCATGTAGCTGTGGATTGTGGATATGCAAAAGGTGGGAGGTGAAGTGGGCCGTGTTGGGCACATCCAACAAAGTATCGTGTCTGGGCACATGTGGGGCTAGAACATACACATACACAAGAGACATGCATGCCTGGGACACGCATGCCCCAGACACGCTCAGGACATGAGTGCCTGGGACACCCGTGGGACACACATGTGTAGGACATGCATGCCCCAGGCATGCACGTGCAGGACATGTATGCCTAAGACACACAAACACATGCAGGATATGTGAGCCTGGGACATGCATGGCCCGGACATGCACACACATGCAGGACATACATGCCCGGGACACACACACTGGGGACACACACATACAAGACACGTGTGCCTGGGACATGTGCACATGACTGGGGTGAGTGAGCTCTCTGCGTCAAGTCTTTTTCAGTTTCCTAGAACATCCACTTTAACCTTAAAAAAAATAGAGGTTATTTTTTAAATGACGGAGATGGCCTGGGAGAGGGCCTGCAGAATGCAGACTCCAGGGGCCCACTCTGGGCTCTCGGGTGGCCCAGGAATCTGCATGTTAGAGAGGCCCTTCAGCTGACACAGGCAGATGAAGCCCACATCCAAGGCTTACAGGAAGCTGGTTCACAGCTTTATTTTACTTACTTTTTACTTTTTGTAGAGACTGGGTCTGGCATAGCTCACTGCAGCCTTGACCTCCTGGGCTCAAGCAATTCTCCCGCCTCAGCCTTCCACAGTGCTGGGATTACAGGTGTGCATCACTGCGCACAGCTACTTCAGTTTAAATGGGTTGCTTTCAACTGTTTCACAGTTACTCTGAGGCGGCCGACTAGGTTTGAGCTGACTTGACATGGTTAGTGTCCCACCATACTGCAAGGACTGTCCTGTCCAAGATCTTACTATGAAAACAAAACTTCCTGGAATGCTGAAATAACCACGGCACACACAACACCCCGCTTGTCCCAGTTAACATCTGCTGCACCTGCCCTCTCCCCTGTCCGTCCGTCTGCCCCTCTATCCATTTTGCTTTCACTTCCTAGATGTGTCCACCCAACATGTGGGTCTTTTCTAACCTGAGGTTTCACCCTGCAGGCCAACCTCAACTCAGATGCGCTTCCTCACAGCACTGCATGCTTTTAATTAACCACTCAGAGATTATTCTTAAGGAACCACAAGACCAATTCCTTGGAAATGGGCGTATCTACACTCTGAAAACCTGGATTCTCACACATGGCTGGGAACACACACGTTCACTGACATGCAAACATGGGCCCACCAATGTCATCCAAACACTCAGATAGCACTGGTTCCTCAGAGCCCACCAGTGGACTGACAGGCCTGGCCCTGCTGGGGGCAGCAGGGGCTCTCCTCCTGAGCCCCTGGATCTCATCACAAGGCAGGGGCTCTCCTCCTGAGCCCCTGGATCTCATCACAAGGCAACTTGGCTCCGGGTCTCTAAGCCACTTTCCAAGTTAACTCTACCACACACCCAGAGGCTAGGGAGGCCGTAAGGGAAGCCCATGCTCCTGTGCCTGGTCTCCTCTCCTGAGCCTGGCCTCGGCTCCCATGCCTGGCCTCCTCTCACGTGGCCTCTCTCCTGTGCCTGGCCTGTTCCCATGTCTGGCCTCCACTCCTGTTCCTGGGTCTCTGCTCCCATGCCTGGCCTCTGCTCCCGTGTCTGGCCTCCTCTCCTGTCCCCTGGCCTCTGCAGCACCAGTGTCAAGGAGGGGACCCCGCCAGCCCTGTAAGCCCCGTGCTGCCCGAGCCCACCACCAGCAGCCTCGTGGCCTGGGACTATTCCAGACACTGAGAACGTGCCGTGAGGGGACCCGCCAGGGACGTGGGGAGGCACGGTGAGAAGCAGGAACTCGCGCCTGGCTCACCTGGTCCATGGGCCGGGTAAGCTTCTTCTGAAACGCCACCACACCAAGCCCCTGGATGCACTCAGCGAGGATGGTGCATGCCGTGCCCCATCACCATGGGGCCTGCGGCCCTCCTGCCTTGCCCCATCCACGCAGATGCACCAGGGTTGGGGGGCCCTGGGCTCCTGTCTCTTGTCCTCTTGGGCCTCCAGCCCTCTGCTCCACCCTCTGTGCGGTACCTGCCTGGTTAACCCCTCCTCCCCGTTTGAGGCCTGGTTTTCAACATCACCTCCAAAGCCCTCCCTGGTTCCCACCCAGTCTGGGTGAGGCTCCTCCTACAGGGCCCCCAACATAGCTCTGGTGTCACCTGCCTCTCTCCCCAGACAGAAGCCACAGGCCCTGCCTGTCCCTTCTGTTATCTGACCTTGCTGTGTAGTGGACACCACTGCAAGAAGAAACCAAAGCCTCTCATATATACAGAGGTCTCAAGTATGGGGACAGGGAGAAAATCAGGACCACCCATGCATCTTATGAGGCCTGAAGATGGCTTGGAAGGCTGTTGAAAAGCTCCAAGCCAAGGATGAGTGTCCTCCATGTTCACCCAAGTGCTGAAGGCACAGGCATCTAAGGAGAAGACTTGCTCCTCAAAACAGTGCCCTGGCCAGGCACGGAGGCTCACGGCTGTAATCCTAGCACTCTGGAAGGCCAGGGTAGGAGGATGGCTTGAGCCCAGGAGTTCAAGACCAACCGGGGCAACATAGCAACCCCATCTCTACAGAAAAATCAGCTGGGCATGGTGGTGTACACCTGTAGTTCCAGCACTCTGGGAGGCTGACACTGGAGGATTGCTGGAGCCCAGGAGGCTGAGACTAAGGCTGCAGTGAGCTGTGATGGGGCCATTGCACTCCAGCCTGGGTGATAGAGTGAGACCATGACTTGAAAACAAAAACAAAAAAAGAAACACACAGGCCAAAGGACCTCACTGTGGCTTCAGGCGGGAAGAGAGAACCCTAACAGGAGTCGCAGCCTTCCATCCACCACAATGCCGCGAGGCAGAAGAGGAGCCAGAACCTGGCTGCCTCCTCACTCCAAGGACAGTGGCTGATGGCCCCAGAAGCCCCAGGTCCGCAATCACTGCCCACCTCCATGCGGGCCTTGTAGAAGTCCACGTCATGCAGCCGTTCCCGGCAGCGCACCAGCTCCAGCTCCAGCCGCTCCACACGGGCTGCCTTCTCCCGCAGGGAGTCCAGCTCATCGCGATAGGCACGGGCGGACCGGGCATCAGCTGCTAGCTGGGTGTTCTGGAAAGTGGGAAGGCAGAAACCCCATCAGGGCATCCCTTGGGGAGGCAGGGAGGCCAAACTGCTGACACAGGGTCTTTGTGGCTACCCACAGCACACCGGAACCGCACACCTGGCCCGTTGGGAGCCCCAGCCCTGCCCAACCCTGACCGGCAACTCACCTCCTGCTTGGCCTTCTGCAGCTCCAGCGCCAGCTGGTCCACTTCGTGCCTGGTGTCCACCAGCTGCTCCGTCTTCTCCTCCCTGCAGGGTGGGTTGGAAGACGTGGAAGGGGCTTCCTTGGCTAGCCAGGTGTAGGTCACCCTCCCAGACCACAGTGGGGAGCAAGAACCCGGGTTCCTGACAGCAGGCAGAGACCTGCTGTGGGGCTTGCAGTGAAGTCCCAGACTCCAGCAATCCTTCTGCCTTGGCCTTCCCAAGCGCTGGGATGACAGACTCAATACTCCTCTCATTTTTTGAGTTGGGATCTCACTCTGTCACTAAGGCTGGAGTGCAGTGGCACGCTCATAGCTCACCGCAGCCTCAACCTCCTGGGCTCAGGTGATCCTCCTGCCTTGGCCTCCCAAAGTGCTGGGCTGACAGGTGTGAGCCACCATGCCCCGCCTCTTTTTAAGTTTTTACTTCCTGTCCTCAAAGTACATCCACCCACCACCAAGTCTCCCTCAAGTATGTGGAGCAGGTAAGGGGACCACGGCCACAATCACACCACTACCAGCCACATGACCAGTCATGTGACACTACCAGCTGCAGGAACTCAAGAGAACACGCCCGCCAGACAGGCGAGACGCCTGCTCCCTCCGGCCAGGAACACACCAGCGTGTAGTTGTAGCAGCCCTGCCCGGCCCAAGTAGGGACAGCAGCTGTTTCTACAGACAGTCTGTTGGGCCTGGCCAGGAGGTACCTGAGTGCCAGGTCAAGCCTCCCTCCCCTGCAGGCCTGCGGGAGGCGACTGCCCTGGTCAACTGCTCAGAGAAGATGCAGTTGAGCCCAGGCCCTCAGAGTTGCCTGTCGGTAGCATCTCATGCGGGTGACAGCACGCTAGGGACACAGGGACACACAGGAGCCACTGGGACTCACAGCTCCTGCCGGGTGCGCCGCAGTCGGGCCTTCGTGTCGGCCAGTTCCACAGCCAGGTGCTGCTTGTCTTCGCTCGAGAGGCTGCTGCTGGGGCTGGGCGTGGAGTCGGCACTCGAGGACCGCATGGGGCTGGGTGGGTGCTGCGCCTGCAGGTAGTCGCGCTCCTGGGTCAGGTCCACGATCAGCTGCGGCCGGGTGGGGGGGACGGGGGATGGGGTTAGCCCACGCCTGGCCCCGTTAGGATTTGGGAGAGGGATGGAGTTAGCCCGTGCCTGAGCTGGTTAGGACAGAGGGGATGGGGGACAGGGTTAGCCCATGCCTGGCCTGGTTAGGACAGAAGACAAGGGATGAGGTTAGCCCACACCTGGGATGGTTAGTTCAAAGGACAGGGGACAAGGTCATTCCGTACCCGAGCTGGTTAGGACAAGGGGGTTGGGGACAAGGTTAGTCTGTGCCTGGCCCAGTTAGGACAGAGGACAGGGGATGAGGTTAGCTCATACCTGGGCCAGTTAGGACAAGAGGGACTGGGACAGGATTAGACCATACTTGGCCTGGTTAGGACAGAGGGGATGGGAAATGGGAGTGGGGCTGGTTAGGACAAGGGGAACGTGGACAAGGTTAGCCTGTGCCTTTCCTGATTAGGACAGAGGGGGTGAGGGGTGGGGTCAGCCCACACCTGGCCTGCTTAGGATAGAGGACAGGGTAGGAGGTTAGCCTGCACCTGAGACAGTTAAGACAAGGGGGATGAGAACAAGGTTAGCCCATGCCTGGTCCAGTTAGGACAGGAGGATGGGGACAAGGTTAGACCATGCCTGACCCAGTTAGGACAGAGGGGATAGAGGATGGGTTAGCCCACGCCTGGTGCCTTAGCCAGTTGAGGGGGAGACCACCAGGAGGCAAGAGATAGCCCAGCTGAGACCGGGGGCTGGAGCAGAACAGGAGGTGACGGGGGTTTCCAGAAGGGGTGAGATGTCTAGTGGGACAGAAGGGAGCTGTGCGAGGAGGGATCCCAAGCTCTTAGGTGACTGTTCACTGTTGGGGACATAACCAGGGAAAGGGCCCAGGTCCACCCCCCTAGAGCCAAACCTGTAGGACTGGGAGGTGCCCAGGCTGAAGATGGAGAGTGAGGAGGGTGGGGAGGA